CAGCTGGCCTTGTAGACCAGGCTTGCCTTGAACTCACAGAGATCCACCTGCCTCTGCCTCCTGAGTACTTGGATTAAAGGCATGTGCCACCTCGCCTGACCAATACATTTTTAGACTAATATTTTTGTTAAATTTTTGAGAGTTTCATACAATGAATTTTGATCACATTCACCTGCTCTCCCCCATTTCCTCTCAAATCCACTCTCACCTCCCTACATCCCCAACTATATGTCCTCTTTTCTTTTTTTCAGTTTGTATTACCTAAATGCTCTTGTTGTGGGCCCATCCCCTAGAGACTAATCCACCTACCCTTAAAGAAAACTGATTCTTTCTTCCCAAACAGCTATCCTGTTAGGGATAGAATTTTATGCCCACCTCCCCCTCTATGCTAGGATTTTGTCTGGGTTAAGCTTGAGTAGGTTTTGTGTGTGCTGTCATAAAGTTCATATGTGCATCTGCCTGCCCCATTGTGTCCAGGAAACAGTTTCATTGTAGTGAGTGGGGAGAGAGGTATGATATAAATGGTCCATTTAGGGCTGAGCACTCCACAAAGTCTCTTATTTTCTGCATGTTGACTAGTTGTGGGTCTCAGTGTTAGTCTACTATAAAAGAAGCTTCTATGATGAGGGTGAAGAGATGCACTAATCCATGGGTATAATGATAAGTCATTAGGAGTCAGTTTAGTATTATGTCTATTTGGCAGAATAATAGTAGTAGGTTCTCCCATAGTCTGTGATTTATCTGACCACAGGTTATTTGCCCCCCAGATAATGCCAGGTAGGACTTCCATCTTGTAGAGCCAGTATTAAATCCAATGTTATAAAGCATTGCTTTCTCCCATAGCATTCATGCCACTATTACACCATTGGGCATATCTTGTTGGCCAGTCATTAATGTGGCTTGCAGGGTTCACAACTGAGTAAGCTTGACAAGATTACTTTTTTTTTTTTTGAGATGGGGTCTCCTGGTAGCCACAGCTAGCCTGACCTGGAACTTATATATAGACCAGGCTGGCCTCAGTCTCACAGAGATCTACCAGCCTCTGCCTCCCAAGTGCTAGGATTGAAGGTCCTACCATACCTGGCTGACAAGATTACTTTTAAGATTACTTTTCTCTTATGGTAACATGCTTAGCACCTTCCATCACCATGAAACCTAGCCAGTAGGGATGAAGTTTCCAGGTCAGTATCAGCTTGATTACTCCATGTCCTATGACTCAAGCATGTGTCTTCAGGAATAAGGTCTTACCATCAAGTTCTGTAGGGTAACTGAGAGCAGTGGCAATAGCCAGTAGTGTTTGAGTGTTTCTGAGGCCCCACTGGCCGACAACTCCAAAAGAGGTTACCCATTTCTAGTACTGTTATTCCCACCAGTTTAAAAATGTGTGGTGGCACATGCCTTTAATCCCAGCACTTGGGAGGCAGAGACAGGCGAATCTCTGTGAGTCCAAGTCCAGCCTGGTGTCCATAGTGAATCTAGGTCAGCCTGTAGGTAAGGGAGACCCTATCTCAAAAAGATCAAAAAATAAAAATATAAAAATAAAAATAAGAATTCTACCTATTGAGCATAGAAAAATCATTTGGGAAGAAATATTTATAATTACTCATTAAATTTTTGTGTCCCAAGGCTGGGGAGATCATTCAGTGAACAAGAGTGCTTGCTCTGCAAGCATGAGAACCTGAGTTTGAATCCCCAGCAACCGTGTAATAAAGCTGGGCATGGCTCCTCATGCCTGGAAACTCAGCACTGTGGGTTGGGCATAGGCAAATCCTAAAAGCCAGCTTAGTTAAAATGGCAGACTTCCTTTTCAGGGAGAGATCATGTGTCAAGGCAATAAGGTAGAGAGCTGTAGAGGAGCACATTTGAAGTCCTGCTTTGTTTCACATGCATGTGCATGGGTGGGGTGTGCATGCACACACACACACACACACATAATGCAGGAAAAATTTCTGTATTCTTGCCTTCTTCTATAGCTAAGGAAATAAGATCTTAATGAAAACCAAGAGGAATTTATAGTGACAGTAATTAAATGTAGTTCCCATGGTCTGGCTCAGCAAATGAGGCTGCTCTTCGAGAAGAGCTTCTGATAAAATAGGAAGGCAAATCTTTTCTGTTACTAGATTGGAGTTAGGATAGTAGTTAGGGGATGGAGAGATGGCTCAGCAGTTAAGCGTCCTGGCTGCTCTTTTCAGAGGACTGGGGTTTGGTTCCAAGCACCCACATGGCAGCTAACAACTGTCTGTAACTCTTAATTCCAGGGTATCTAACACTCTTTTCTGACCTCCACAGGCATTACACCACAGGGATACAGTTACATACGTGCATACAATATACTCATACATATAAAATAAGAATAATAAAATATATTTTTAAAAGATAGTAGTTGGAACAAAATTAGGGCCAAGGCCAAGCTGACAGGAGCAAGTCTAATCTTTGTGTGCCCTAGTTTTCTCTTCAACAATATAGAGGTAGTAATAATTCCAACTTCTTATGATACTGTTAAAAATTAAGGGGCTGGAGAGATGGCTCAGTGGTTAAGAACACTAGCTGTTCTTGCAGAAGACCCAGATTCGAATCCCAGCACCCACATGGCAGCTAACAACTGTCTGTAACTCCAGTTCCAGGGGATTTGACAGCCTCTTCTGTCCTCCAAATCTAACAGCCTCTCTGTCCTCCGTGGGCATTGCACAACATGAGTGCACTTACCTACATGAAGGCAATACATGCATACACATAGAATAAAATAAATAAAAAATTTTTTAAAAAGTTAAGTCTACATGTGTATATATGTTCACATGTTACATATATTTATAGTTAGGTAGAACTGTATTTTAGCATGTATCAATTGCATTATACACATTGGGTATCATTTTATTGTATATTATGAAGCTCATTAAAAGCATTAACTGGATATCAGAAGTTTCCTGGTTTAAAATTATGAGTAAGAACTTTCATACATACATCATTTGGAAAGTCATCATATTATAAATTGAGAACACTGCTTGCATTAAGCTGGTAAAGTCTTTCCACAATTTCATTCTTCATTTCCTAGAGGAGAACACAGATACCTGTTGTATATAGCCTCTCACCTGTAGATTTTTATCCTAATAATATTGATGGAGAATAAATAAAAAACAATATATAAAGTAATTGCTATTTTAGTAAACTCATTGGGTTTTGCCTTGTTGTTTTGGTTGTTATTGTTAATGTATAATCTACTTTTAGTAAACGAATATTTATCCATTTCCTCCTCATTTTAGATGGAGTTCTAACATAAGATAGCATCTGGGCATAAGTATTCAAGACATCTTTAATATGTATACCTTTGCCAGATCTGTAATCAGATCTATCATGTGTATATAAATACTGATAACTATGAAATAGATCATTTGAATTGTATATGCTTTCCTATATTATTATAAAATATATTTTAGAATATGATGTGGAATTTGACTGCCATATGAAATAGACATTCAGCTTGGAAAACATACTTTTCCTAGACCACTTGTATTTGTAAATGATAATGATTCTATTTTTCATATTAACTGCAAATAACACCAAACCTTCATATGTCTTTTTATTGACTTTATCCTGAAAACAAAATATGAGGAAGGGTTATTAATAAGCTGCCCCTACCTTTTCATTTATAGCTGAATTTATCCTCTGGTATAATAAATTTCTAATTAGTATAACACAAAAAAGGCTTTAAAACAGCAAATAGATAAGGGAAGGAGCTTAATTATCTTGCAACAGATATTTATTAGTCAACATTTTTAAACTTTTAAATTATAGGATGGTATAGCAATTTGTTTTGTGACTAGTAGTTGTCAGTGATGATATCAAGGCACTGAAGAACTCTGAAGTGCTTGAGACAATAGATCATTGTTAAATGATGCTGTTTTGTTTCTTCATGTGGAATGATCTTTGTTTTCTGCCCCTTTTTCCAAAATTATAATAACAATTAGTTCCTATTTTTAATTGTCTAATGTCAATTTGATAATTTTATTGGCTTGACAGTTTTTTTTTTCTTTTCTGTTTTTCAATGAATAAACATTCATTGAAACAAACATTGTGGGGCTTATTATAATTACACTAACATCATAATCACCTGAACAAATAGACTGACTCTACATTAAGTTTTTACGAGTAAGCCCAGACTTGAAGGACACTGGTTCCCCTAGCCAATGCTGATGGACCTTTCTTACCCCCTCAAGCTGTCTGTGCAGATGGAGCTGTCTGTGCTAAGAGATCAGTCTCTGGGACCATATTTCTCTCACTTGGTCCCCTAGGTCAGGCAACACCAATAATTTATTCAAAATGATTTCTCTAGCTGCATTGGGGAAATGCAAGTTCAAATTCAGTTCCACCCTTAGCCTTAACAGACCATCTGACCTTTCCTTCCCAGGTATCTCATTCCTCCAATGTCACTAGTCCTTCCCTACCTCCATTGTGTTCAATGGAGATGGAACACTGCCTTTCAGTGCTTTGATGTGTTAATTCTCAGGCCTGCCCACATTCATTCATTCATTCATTCATTCATTCATTCATTATCTTTTGGGGTAGAGTACCAAATTGAGGTTGCCAAGGTTTTGTGGGGTTAATTAAAAGTCATTAGTCCAGGCTTGGCATACCTTTACTCCTAGCACTCAGGAGGCAGAGGCAGGCAGAAAGATTGCTGTGAAATCATGGCCAGTTTGGTCTGTATAGTAAGTTCCAGATCAGCTGGGGCTACAGGGAGACCCTGTCACAAAAAAGACAGAAAAAAGTTATTATTCCAGATTATGTCCACTAATAAAAGTCATTCCCACAGATAATAACTCCAAAGCAGACAGGGAGACAAACATAATGCAAATCATATTGAAGCCATGGTAAAAATCAAAATTTAGGGGACATATTGGGAGATTATTCACAAATTTAGTAAGTTAAAAACCATTGATGACTATCATGAGAAATTCTATTTTTCTGACAAGAAATTTAGTTTTTTTAATCCTTTTTTTCAGCAAAAGTTACCAAAGCCTTGACCAGTTATCAGCAGAAGTTAGCCTTTCTCAGACATCCTTGGATCCAAGCCACTCACAAGAAGGAGATGGAAAGCAAGACACATTAAATCTAATCAGTGAAGGTAAGTAAATTGCTTTGGCTTTTTTATGCATAGTTTATCTTGTCTCATCTTGCCTGGTTTTATCCGTTCCACTTGACTCAGCCTTTGGAGTGCTGGGATTAAAGACATCACACACAAATATAATTAATTTTTATTTATTTATTTTTAGCTAATAAGTTTTGGTCTTTGATAAGTTCATACACATACATAATTCATTCTGGTTACCCCTCCCCCAGCCTCTTATTTTACTCTCACACCTGCCAGCCTCTCTTCTTACTTACAAATCTTTTTTTCCATCTTCATTATGTGTTATTTTGTGTCTCACAGAGTTTAGCTAGGGCTATCTATGTGATCCTGAGTTTGGAACTATCTATTAGAGCCTGGTGAACTGACCAGTGATACTATGTCTCTCCCTGTCCCAGAAAGTTTCCAAATAGATCTTCAATAAGAGGTAGCACCTGGTGAGTTCCTTTCTCATCCATAGCTGACAGTTAGGAATGCCTGACTTGTGTGAACCCAGTGCTAGTGGGCAAGATGCCATGAATTCATGATCACCATGGCTATGTTGTGCTTAGAGGATGGCATTTCAATGACATCCTCTATCTTTCACCTCTCACATTCTTTCTGCCCAGTCTCCTGTAATACTACTGGACAATAAGGGGGTGGTATGAATGCCGTGTTTAGGGTGGAGCCCACAACTGTCCTTCAGTCTCAGCACCTTCTGCAGTTATGGGTCTCTGCATTTACTTCTGTTCACAGGAGTGGTTTCCGTGATTGAGACTGAAAGTAGCCTTTGTCTGTTCCATACCTGACCAGGCTGCATGGGTTTAAAAAGAAAGTTTTTTTTAAGTATATAATTCTTGCACTTCTTTGGTTAAATTTATTTCTAAGTATATAGTTCTTTTGGTTTATATTATAAATGGAATAATTTTCTTTTATTTCAGATTGCTTATTACTTCTTTTAGATTTTAGCTATAAAGATTACCTTTTTTCCCTCTATACCTATAAAAAAGAGGATAAAAGTGAATTCAATAGCTCAACATATTCTCAGGCTGCTTAGAACTATGTAACTTAGGCTGATCATCAGCTGATGATCCTAAAACTTCATGTTCAGCTCTTCTGAATCCTTTTTTGAATCAAAATTGTCAGTGACCATGTCCTTCCTTATAGTATAGTCCTCTGTGCCAACACTAAATACTTTCCCAGACAGTACTCTGCAGTTTAAGAATTTTCTTTAAAGCAGTCAGCATGTGTTAAGTACATTTTAATGCATTTTCCTGTTTGCCTAACCTGTAGTTTTCTTTTTTTCCCAATTAAATCAAATGCTTTTCAAAGTCTAACAGCTTCTCTTCAAGTACAGAAGGAATTTTATGACAAATTGATATTTAACATTTTAACAGAAGCCTTGCATAATACAGGAATCATTCTTGTTGCTTCAAAATTTTGTTACCTAGGCTGGAGAGATGGCTCAGAGGTTAAGAGCACTGACTGCTCTTGCAGAAGACCCAGGTTCAGTTTCCAGAACCCACGTGGCTGCTCACAACTGTCTGTAACTCCAGTGTCAGGGGATCCGAAACCATCTTCCGGCTTCTGTGAACATTATGCATCATGGGTATATTTACATATATGCAAGCAAAACACTCATACACATAAAAATTTTTTTTAATTAAAAAAAATTGTTACCTCTCCTGCCTCACCTATATCCTTGGTATGTGTCATAAAATTTCATCTATTTGTGGATATTTTCTTATTTTATTTTCTTATTTTTATTTTATGTGTATGCATGTATTGCCTGCATGTAGGTAAGTGCACCCGTGTCGTGCAATGCCCGCAGAATGCAGAAGAGGCTGTCGGATCCCCTGGGACTGGAGTTATAGACAGTCGTTGGCTGCAATATCAACATGAATACCTGTGAACAAGTTCATGCATGCACATACAAAAAAAAAAAAAAAAAAAAAAAACAAAACAATGTCACAACCTTCCCTTAGCCGAAAGCAGATCCCTCCAAAATATTGAAATTTTATTGCATAATTACCATACATTTTCTGTCTCATTGATCACAAGTGGTATACTTTTTTATTAGTTCCTTTCTGTTCCTCTGCTAAAACACTATGACCAAGGCAGCTTGTAGAAGGAAGAGTTTATTGGGCTTATGGTTCCAGAGAGATAAGAGTCCATCACAGTGGGGAGGTGTGACAGCAGGAGGGGCGGGGGACACAGAAAGCTGAGAGCTCACATCTTCAAGCACTAGCAAGACAGAACCTGTAAGTGCGAAGGGGCTGTGAACTCTCAAAGTCTGCCCCCAGTAATGTGCTTCCTACAGCAAGGCCACACCTCCTAAATCTCCCCAGTAATGCCACCAATTGGGGACAAGTATTCAAATACTTGGAGCTTATGTGGGGGATGTTCTCATTCAAAGTACAATAGGTCCTTACATAACAGCTTAACATAAAACTTGTCCTAATTTTAAGTTTATGACAGAGGCTAAGGCACCTCTCTAGGCCCTTCATAAAAATAGTATACGAAGGAGCTGGAGAGATGAGTCGGTGATTAAGAATAATAGCTGCTCTTGCAGAAGATCTAAGTTCAGTTCCCCAGCACCCATAAGGCTGCTCACAATCATCAATAACTCAGTTCTAGGGTTCTGACACCCTTCTCTAACTGACAGGGTCTCTCACTGGAAACTAGGGCTTATTATCTTTTCCTGACACTTTTATATTTTTTATTGAGCTTTTTAAATTTCATACATTTCCCACTCAAATCCAGGCCCCCTCCCCTGTCCATGCCTCTCCCCATCCCCTCACCGAACCCTATTATGCTCTGCCATACATGCTGAGTCCTATTCATTCAGGTGTTTGTACCCAAATGTCCTTCAGTGTAAATACATCCACTGGAGTCTAGTCAGCCCATCCAGTGGTCATATATAAGTCATACTCTGCCTCACCCATCAGCAATCAGTCTCAAATAGTTCTGTCTAGTGATGACCCACCACCTATTTCTCACATCCCCTTTGGGCCCTTGCTTAATTGAGCTGACATGGATCCCATGCTCAGTGCCACTATTGCCATAGGCTCACATGAGCAAGTCTCCAGTGGCAGGGAAGCCTCCAACTCCCTGTGTTCATGAAATAGCTTTGGCTATTACAGTCTTTCCATTTCCTCTTCTGCAGTGGTCCCTGAGCTATGGGTGGGTGAGGTTCCATATAGGAGTCGCATCCTACACTCTAGTCTCTTATTCTCCAGAACTTGGCCAGTTATGGCCTTCTGTGTGCATCACTCTGATGTACATGGAAGCGTCACTGGTGAGAGTTAAGGGGTGCATTAGTCCTCTCTCTACCCCTTATTCCACTATGTACTTTTGTATTTTTTAATATGTCTTCAGGTGGCAAAACTATAAAACTAGCATAGCCAGGTCATCTTTTGGTATCTCTTCCCATTTTGCAAAGGAAAGAATAGCCTCATAGATGATGAGCAGCCATGGTCATACAGATAAAAAGGATATGAATATTACCTTGTGTTCTACTGCACTTCCACTAATCATCTTACATTGATTATACAGTTATTCAGTGATTATCTACTGTGAACTAGGCACTGGAATACAATGATGAACACAAATATTCCCTGCCTTTTCTCAGAATTGATAGTCTAATAAAAGGATCCCCACAGTCACCACACAGTGTGCCAAAATGGGATAGGTACAGAGAACTATGAGACACTTGAGAGGGTGTATTTGAAATATTAACACCTGATGCTAGCTCAGCTTATACTTCTATAACTATGAGAGTAAACCTAAGGGTTCCATCTTCTTTGAAAACCTGCTAATTTTCAGTGACCTTAGCCTTGCCTGGTCCAAGCAGCCCCTTGTAGCTAGCACTTGTAGAAATTTACTAGCTCTGGAAAAAATTTGTTTTACCTGTGCCATAGAAACAGACCTTCTATCATTCTTCTTTCATGGTTCAATGGAAATCCAGCATTTCAGAAATTCTTCATTTCAGTGACGTAGCTCAGTGGGTTAAGGTACTTCCTACTAAGTCTGATCACCTGAGTTCAATCCCTGGAACCCACATGGAGGAAGGAGAGAACTTGGCTCTCAAAAGTTGTCCTCTGATTTTCACAAATGCTTTGACACACACGCACACACATATGTACAAAATACATTAAAATGTAATTTAAGGAGGTGGAGAGATGGTTCAGAGGTAAGAGTACTGGCTACTCTTGCAGAGGACCAGGTTCAATCCCCAACACCCACATAGTTTCTAACAACTGTCCATCACCCCAGTTCCAAGGGAATCCAATACCTTCTTCTGACCTCGTGGGCATTGTACAACACAGATGCACTTATATACATATAGGAAATAGACTCACACACAAAATGAAGTAATAAAACATTTTAAAAAATAAAATGTAATTAAAAAAATCAAATCCTGATGCCTAGGAGATAAAGAATAAATGTTCGTCAAGTGAATAAAGTCTCCTAAAATCAAGACGTTCTACTTACTGGAGCACTCAAATCTGATGAGACTCAATCTCTTTCTAGTGTCTTAACCTCAGTGTAGAGCTCCCATATTCGCTCTGGCTTGAGCATATTATTATTTAGTTGAGTATTCTTTATTTATTGGCTGATTAAACATGAACATATTCTCAAAAAAAAAGTTACATTTGGGGCTGCTGAGATGGCTCAGAAGTTGGTCCTGCAGAAGACTCAGGTTTAGTTCCTAGCACCCATGTGGTGGCTAACAACTATCTGCAACTTCAGTTCCAGGGGACCCACACCCTCTTTTGACCTCTGCAGGCATTGCATACATGTGATGCATTTACATACATGCAAGCAAAACACTCATATACATAAAAAAATAATTAAAATATTTTTGTTGGTCTTTTTGAGACAGTGTCTCCCTCACCTGGCCAAGAACTCACTATGTAGACCAGGCTGAGCTTGATTTCACAGAGATCCACCTGCCTCTGGCTCCTGAGTGCTGGGATTAAAGGTGTGTGTCACTACGCCCGTCTTAAAAAGTTTTTTTTTAAGGTAAACTTAAACTTTATTATAAAACATGTTATTTCAGTCTTCCATACCTAGAGGTTTTGTTTTTAAATAATATTTTTTTACAGTATACTCTGATCAAATTCTGACCTCCACCCCCATCTCCTTTCAGATTCCCTCCCCTACTGCTCTAGAACCCCTACACACTTCATATCTTCTATTACTTTTAAGGCCTACTGAGTCTAATTTGTGTAGTTTTTTTTTAAATTCGGAATTGTATTTGTATTTTTCTGTGTATGAGTGTTTTGCCTGCAGGTACGTAAGTGCACATGTGCATGCAGTACCTGTGGAAGGCAAAAGAGGGCATTGGATGCCCTAGAACTGGAATTACAGATGGTTGCTGAGTACCAAACCCAGGTCCTCTGCAAGAGCAGCCAGTTCTCTTAACCACTAAACCATCTCTCCAGCCTCTAATTTGTGTAGTTTTAAGAGCACAAATACTCTTGTGTGTTTTTAAAGGTGATATTCAAATTGCTGAAAGGTCAAACATCTTTAGATATATTTTTAAAATATAAATTTTGGAAGTTTCTGATGGTGTGAGGGTCTCACTGTATGATTCTTGAAGACTATTAATTATGTGTTACTTTATCTTAATTTTCAGGTAAAGAAGATACCCCTTCATTACTTGGTCTCTGTGGATCACTAACATCAGTGGCAAGCTATAAGTCTCTAACAAGTCTAAAATCTAATGACTACCTTGCAAGTCCTACAACAGAAATGACAAGTCCAGGCCTGACTCCATCCTGAAAAATTTTATGTAAAAGCCAAAAGTTTCTATATTGTAAATATTAACTTTACATAAGTTTGACTGCTGGGGAGACCTTTGAAATTTTATATTATTCTGGTACATGCCTGGAATTCTGTTGTTTAGAGAGATCAGTTCGGTCCATGTAAACTTCTGAGGAGAAAACACAGTAGTCCTGCTATTTTTCTTTTTAAAAATCTTACATTTATCACTGAGGAAGTTTAAAATTGAGTAGGCTTTTAAAAAGCATTTAAAGATTGTCTGAATTCAAACTGTACATAGTTGTTACTCAACTAATTTTTATATATCTGTTTACATGTGTCTTAGTGGCCAGAGACTTAAGGTTTTATTCCAGAGACTTATGCTTGTTGTTTTCTTTCACTCATTTATTTAAGGGTTAAATTTTTACACAAAAAAAAGACAGCATGTTAATTTCATTAACTTTTTCCTAAGTTTAGATGTTTACATGACATGTTAGCACAGGGGAAGATGCTCAGCTTCACAGGGGCTTTTTAAAGTTTTTCTTTTAACATTTATCATTTGGTATTAACATTTCATAAATTTTGTAGGAATATGTCTTTTTAGGCAGATATATAGGAAAAGTATTTTATATATAAGAAAATGAATAGGTTTCTTAGATTTGTTTTCCCCAGATTTTCTTTAAAAATTGTTGATTTTAAAATGTGATCAGGTATGCCTGAAAAGTTGGAAATATTTCAGAATACAGAACAAATGCTTGAATGCCAGGATGAGTTTCAAGTTCAGTGAAGGATCTGAAAAGCTTTTAAATAAAGATCACTAAAATTACCAGCATATTTAACCGTAAATATAGTTCCGATATACAGTGCTATTTTTCCCTTGTGTGCAACAATAATTTATATCATGTATGTTTTACAGCCTTATATTATACCAAAATCTCATTTTAAAACTGATTTTCGTGTTTAAAAAATTGTATGCTGCTGTAGGAAAATTGGTTTTTGTTTTTCTCTGTTGTTTTAATTTTTTATTTTATGTATATATGTGTTTTGCCGCATGTATGTAAGTGGACCACATTTGTGCAATACCCATGGAGGCCAGAAGAGGACATCAGATCCCCTAGAACTGGAGTTAAGACAGTTGTTAGCTGCCATGTGGGTGTTGGGAACTGAACCCCAGTCCTCTGCAAGAGCAACTGGTACTCTTAACCACTAAGCCATCTCTCAAGCCCCAGAAAAAAATTTTTTCAATAAGTTGGGTTTCAGATCTTTTTACAGTTTTTGAAACAGCTACATTTGTCCCTAAAAATTCTACCATGTTGAAAATGAAAATATATGCAGTATATTTTCAGTAGTGAGTAATATGAGGTAAACGTGTGCCAAAGGAATTTTATCTGTTATTTACATGATGAGGCCACAAGGCTTACTGGGGACTTCATGTGGTAGTTTGTTTGCTAATAAAGCACTGGATTTAAATGCTGTATCTCTGACACAGAGGAAGAATGTTCCCCTAAAACAATCTTTTGAGAAGAGCTGAACTTACATATTCACTCCTTGTGTTAGATATGTAGGGGTGTGATGGTTCTCTGAAATATTTAGTGTTTAATCTCAGAACTTGAAATAGGAAATAGTCAGTAGTAACATGGCCAGTCTTAAATATGAGACAGTACCAGTGGTCATTTCAGGGAAAAGGGAGCCTGGAACCCCTTTGACAAGTTGCATTGGAGATATCAGACCATACTCAGAGCTTTATTCTTTTAGCTTAAGGCTTTAATACCTGTAGAAATGCACATATTCTTGAACAGTGGTACTTTAATCTGTTCTTAATTATGAATACTTTATTCAGAATCAGGTATCCAAAGCTGCTTTCAGTTAGTATGCAGGATGGCAAATGAAGATGGTGGGAACTCTGGGAGGATGAAGTGAGGAAACAGATGAGGAGGCTGGTTATGAGTGCTTCTGCTACTTCCCTAAGAACTGGCAAGATGTTAAATGCTTCGTCATCATGATCCATTCTCACCTGACATTTATGATTCTTGGCATTAAAAACTTGTTACAAGTTTTCCATTCTTGTAAAGTAAAAGGAAATACACGATTCCACAATTGGCATACTTTTTCAGATTTGTCTGTTAGAAACACTAATTTGTGCATGTGAACATGCTGCTAACTGCAGACAGACATGACACTCGAGGATCATGGCTTTTCCTCCATTCTTAGAGCTTTTGGTGTAAACTTCATCTGCTACTGTGAAATCCAGGTTTCTAAACACTTCATTTCAAACTAGAAGTAATTTGTAAATGTTCGCATGAGTAATGTGTGTCTCAATCTTTAATTTTCCTTGTTAGTATTTATTTTTCAGATCCCCCCCAAAGAATGCTGAATTACATGCCAACCTTTCCATGATGTACTATATTTGTTGCATGTATATTAAAGTTTTTGTACCATGCATTAATGGTCTTTTTCCTTGACAAAAAATTACATGATTCAGATTGAATTTTCATTTCAGCAAATATGGAATGGTAGCAATTAATTACCTAAAATATTAATGAAAGTGATTTGAATAAACCCTTATTTCAATCCAGATTATACTATACTATAGAAAAAAATTACTCTTACATACCATTCGACATTTTTGTGAATTGTTGACTACATCTAGGACAGCAGTCTCATAAAATTATAATGGGGTTGAAAATTTTCTGTCCCTCAGTGACCACACAGCTTTCCTAATATGCTGACAGAAATTCTGGCATATCCTAAATTTATTATAATTGCAAGTTCTAAAGGATAGAGGAAAAGAGAAGGAAAATCAGTTAATAGCTTACAGGCAAAGCTTCACATTACTGACAATATGTTGACAGGTTGAATTCAGTCCATCACATTTGACCACCAGGACTCCCACACCCAGTTCAGGTTTTGACTTTCTGGCCTGTTAACCCCTCTCAATTCAGAACCGAAAATGACTTCTTATGGACTGCTCTACTGTCCCAAGCTTTCTGTTTCAGTTTATACTGCTACTCTTCTGTGTAACCAGAGGTAGGCTCAATTTATTCTTTCCTGCCTCCATTCTTAGCTCTAGGTCTTGTGGACATTTTTCCGGCTTTCTGTCCTTCTGTGGAAACCTGTCCTCAAGACTTGGTCCTTTTCTGGCTAGCATCTCTAACACCTCAATAAACCTTTTTATTCCAAAGATCCTGTGGGTTCAAGAGTTTTGGTTTAATGTTTTTTTTGATGTAGCAACAGGGTGTAGACCTTGAAGGGGAAGAGGGTGCGCAACCCTCCAGCCCAGTACTGGCAGGGTTGTAGCAGCTTGGGAGTTCTCCTGTTGAAACTTCAAGCCAGCACCCACACACTGTGACATCGCACTCAGGCTTTGCCAAGCCTCTGTTTTTTGGTTAATTCATAAGTGGCTCTTTGGGATATGTGTGGCAGAAATGACAATGTGGAAAACAAGTGAATTGTTCAGGGATGCCCTCAAACATGATATTTGATCTGCGAAGGTACTTACTCTCTTATTTTGTTATCAGAATTTTTCTCTCAATTCTTGTCTAAAATAATTTGAGCTCATATTGACACCTTGTGGTCATATGGTGTAATTACAATTTTGATTTGACTGCTGTACTTTAACCAAACAAGGTTAGTCTAGAAATGAATTTAAAATTCACAGATTATATAACAAATTGTTCCTTTATTCTTCTCAAGGAATTTTCTTGAAACTTTTCAGAAGTATCAGGACCTTGTCCATGATTTATAATGGACTCGTACAGATTCCTACCAAAGAATTCCTATAAATCAGGTTCCAGGATTATTCTCTGTATTAACATGTGCCTATTTCCTGGCCTTTTTTTCCTATAAATTGTAAAACTGCTACAGGCAAGGCCTAGAGAAGCTGATTTCTTTCTTCCCAATTCTGGCCAAAACTGCAAATAAACTTATTTCCTTTTGCCAAACAACAGGCAATAGAACTCAGATTCTAGTAACATGTTTTAACAATTTGGCAAATTTTTTTCTTCAATCTAAATTATAAATAAAATTAAATAAACAGTCAGAATGGAAAGTTTATTTCAACTGATATGTTAAAACCAGTAGATTATCTTCAGATTCCTTTTGTAATGTTTTTAAGCCTATACCAATTATACATAATAGTGGATTGCATTATGACAATAATTTTATAATATTGCTTCCCTACAAAATTCTCTTACTAAAATGATTAAGATGTATAAGTAATTAAGACAAGAAAATTAATTTTCAGGGAACTCTTAAGTCAGCATTCCTGGTAAAGGGGTGGTCTGATGGTTAGCTCAGTTCTCTTCCAGTGAGGTGATTCAGAGTCTTATGGCTTGAGAAGACCAGTCTGGTCTCCATAAGATGATCACCCCCTTCTTCAAGGTGATAACAACAAGCACTTAGAAATTGTTTTGCTAAAACTGTCTATGCAAAAGCACAACTCTCACCTCAAAGGTGATAAAAAATAGTTTATTCTGGAGCCAAATATGAGTGGCCATGGTCCAAAAACACAGATTCAGGTTACCCAAAATCCCATGTTCCAGCATGAAGCAGTTTCATGAAGTTTTTTTAGTAATGGAACAAAGAAAAGTCATAAATCAAGACACTTTTCAAATACATTGGTGGAAACATTAAGTAGGTGGACACAGCAAAAGAGAAAATCTCAGCTATAGGCCTCAGATGCTATCTAAGGGCATTCTTAGCCTTATGGTTGGTGGGAGCTAGGGCTTTGTTAATACATTCCTAAAGCTTTTTTACCTGTTAGTTACAGCATATTAAGTCAGAAACAGGTGGACAAAGAGTGGTTATGGGTTAAAGATAAATAAATGTAAATGGGATCTGGATGTGCAACATTCCAAACTTTCGACAGTCATGAAGTACTAATCAGATTGTCTGCCTTGCAGGATGTTCAGGCCAAGATGCAGGATTTTTCTACTCTGACCCTTCACTTGGGTCTGTTGTAAATAAAAGCAGGATCAAAGCCTCGCATCTCTGCCTTCATTTTGATTTTGTATTTTTTTTACTTTGAATCATCTGCTTGTCTGGGCAAACAGTCATGTTAATCACTCAAGGAGTGTCTGGTCTAGAAATCAGTGATAGCTGACTTATCTCTGTGACTTTACATGTCATCATTATAGTTATATCTGAATAAACAGCCTGGCTCTTTAGTTTTAAGAGCATACCCTTAGTCAGAGGGCACCTATAACTCCAGAAGTCTCCTGGAACTGTGCTCTTTTGGGCAAATGGTTATAGCTGGGTCATAAGGAAGTTCTATGTTTAGCTTATTTAGAAAGCTCCACACTGATTTCATAATGGCTGTACCAGTTGAAAGTGTCTTGATTTATGATTTTTCTTTGTTCTTTTTGCACTCCCAGCAGCAGTAAATACTTGCTTCTCTTTCTCCACACCCTCTCCAACATTTGTTGTCATTTGTTTTCATGAGGAAAGCCATTCTGACAGGGATGAGATAGAATCTCAGAGCTGTTTTAATTTGTATTTCACTGGTGGCTAAGAATTTTGAACACATTTACAATATTGGTTATTTCCATTTCCTCCTTTGAGATCTTTGAGATCTCTGTTCAGTTCCTCAGATCATTTTTCAAAAATTTTTATTTGGGGGCTGGAGACATGGCTCAGAGGTTAAGAGAACTGACTGCTCTTGCAGAGGGCTTGTTTTATTTTATATGAATGTATTACCTGCATGTATGTAAGTGTACCCGTGTTGTGCAGTGCCCATGGAGGTCAGAAGAAGGTGTTGGATCCCCTGGAACTGGAGTTATGGATGGTTGTTAGCCACCGTGTAGGTGCTGGTAATTGAACCCTGGTCCTCTGCAAGAGCAGCCAGTGCTCTTAACCACTGAGCCATCTTTCCAGTCCCTCAGACCAGTTTTAAAATTTATGTTCTTGTGTGTGTGTGTGTTCTTTGTGTGTTCTAGATAATAATCCTACATCAGATGTATAGCTGGCAAAGATTGCCTCCCATATTGTGGGC